TTTAGTCAAATCAGAAGCTTGATTATACTTAAGATTTATCTTTATTGATTTGTTGTTAAATTATTATTATCTGATTATAATTATTAATTTTGATGAAATATATTATTTGAAGTGGACGTTAACTTCCAGATTGGATTTTTATTATTTAATATTTTACATAATAGGAAGACTTTGAGATTTAGTTTTGAATGAAATACTATTCATTTAGTTGAAATAGATGGTTCTGTTACCAGGTAATGAGATTTAGTTTGAAGGTTTTATTTTGAATTATTTTCTATTCAATTTATTAGTTTTGATATAATTAATTTATTTATAGAATTTATTAAGCTCTTATTTATATAATTAAGTTGGATACATACTTGTATTTCTACATACATATAGATACACACTCACATATATCTATATCTATATCTGTATATATAATTGAATGATGTGTTTCTACGTACATATAGATAAACACACACATATAGATCTATATCTATATATATATAAATGAATGATGTGTTTAAAAGCACAAGAAATTGAAATATGGCATCACAATTTTCCAGTGTGAACCAAACTTTTCTATCAACCATTTGAAATCAATTTTTGTTTAAAAAAAAATAAGAGCTTAAGATTTATCTTTGAAATATATTTTCTATCAACCATTGATTCATACTACCAGAACATGTGAATAAGAGCTAGCTTATCACAACAAGTCTCAACGTAAAATAATATCAATAACCATAAAAATATACGTGTGATAATATAAATAACATTATATAGACTATAATAATTCAAAATCAATCTCAACTATTATAGAAAGTATCAAAGCAATGCCAATAATTTCAGGCCACTTGTTATGCAAATTAGGCTATTCACCGAACTTCAAATTTGATGTATTTATTTATTTACTTAGTAACCCGTACATCAGCTGGAAAACTTAGTTTTGATTGCTCATTTTGCTCAAATAAAGCGGTCTCTAAGCTTTTAGCCAGGCGCATATGGCACCTTCCACCTCGTGCTCTATTAATTCGACGCTGAGCTTGCCAAAATAGTTTGAAAACTTATGTTAGATGTAAGACTGAAAGGGCAATTCAGTCATTTGCTAGTTATTGTTGTGGGGTATAAATAGGGCTTAATATGCTTAGGGTTAGGTTCTCTTCAATCTAGGGTTAGAGTTTGGGAAAGCTCGTTTACCTCTCAAAGTGTAGTTGTTTATCTTTTATGTATTTGGGTTATGTTATTTTGTGCTCATGAAATAAAATATTTTGTTTAGCTTTATATCTGTCAAAGCTCGTGTCTTTTTTATCAAATTAGTAGTAGAGCCTTTCTCATTGAACCTCTCGATATAGTGCTATTAGAACTAGCTCAAAAGCCAACGACGGGATCGTAACACATTCCAAATCGAAGAGATCGCCTTTGTAACCAAACCTCACGATACATTCACCTTCATGGCTGAACATCGCGATTCAATCGAATGAACTAGCGGGGCAGCCAATGATGGGATTGCAATGCATTCTAGATTGACAAAAACACCTTCGTGACTAAACCTCATGGTATAGTCGTCATCATGATAAACCTCGTGATATAGTCATGACTTAAGATAACAGGGAAGCCATTGACGAGATCTTGACTTATAGTAGATCCGCCTTCATGGTAGATAAAATAATCCTAGGAGTAATGGCCGCTAAGAACTTAGATGTCTTGTAGGAGAAATTAGAGGGAGAGGTGAGCCAAATCATATATGAAATGGAAGAACGTTTTTCGGCCATGGAGGGGAGATTCATGATTCTGGAAGAAACGATGAAGAAGATCACAAAGTTTCATGCAAACCCATCGTTGCCCGCCATATGATTGAGCCATGGCATCTGCAGCAGACACGAGTGGCATTTATTTGATGAATTTGAGCTACATCTAGGCAGTGTCACTACCTTAGGGGGATCTGGAGCCGCAGGATTGAGCGAAGTAGTCGGGAATGAATTCGAGTGGCAACATTTGAAGGAAAATTAACATCTAAAAGATTGGAACAAGCGACAACATGCATAGTGGGACAACGTGTAATTCAGGGTTGGAGAAGATAGGTTCAAAGGATTTCGGTCTGGAATAGGAAACCGCGGTGGGTTGGACCCTGACGGAGGGTTGCATCCAACAGTGTCAGTGCCTTGCTGCAGCCGTCTTTCAAGCGGAAGGTGATTCAGTAGCATATGAGGATGAGTGAGTTGATTATGGGGCGAGCTAGACTTATGGGAAAAAAAAAATCAATATTGGTGGATGAAGGGAACTCAACCCCGGTTTCATAGGTGGAATGAGCTTTAATCGAAAAAATTGGGGAAGAGACTCATGCATAAGGAAGCCTGAAAATGCCAATTTTTGAAGGAGAGGATACTTTGATGTTAATGAACAGACAAAAGAATAAAATTGATGGCGGCGGTCCTGTGTTTGGAAGGGAAGGCTCTAGTGTGGTGTCAATAGAGAGAACAACCTTAGCCAATCATAACATGAGAATAATTCAAAGGTCAATTGTTGAAGCATTTCAGAGCCATGCGGGATGGGGATTCACATGAGCAATTTTTTGCATCGGTCCAGTAATGACATGTCATGGATTATAGGAGGAAATTTGAGATGCTATGCGACCATTTCTTAGAAGATCACATTGACTATTTGAAGAAGTTGGTGGTACTTGGAATGTCGGCAAATCCATCGAATGTGACATCTATGTTTGATTGGCCACTAACTATGACATTGAAGCGGTTGAGAGGATTTCTAGGCCTTACATGATACTCCTGTAAGTTTGTGAAGAGTTATAGTTCAATTGCGTGGCCATTGGAGGAGCAATTGAAGGATAATTTTTCGGTTGGGGGAAGCTGCGTACCAAGCTTTTGAGTAGTTAAAAAAGGTAATGATGAGTGTACTAGTGCTGGTGGTACTTGATTTTAGCCAACCATTCATTGTAGAGACGGATACCTTGGGATATGGGTTAGGATTATTCCTTATGCAGTGTCTATGACCCATCGCTTATTTTGGTCAAGTGTCGACTGCGAGAGCTAGGCTCAAGTGAGTTTACGAGTGGGAGCCATGACTTGATCCAACAGGAGTCTCTTCCATTTTGAGGATAAGGTATCTTTTGTGAAGGAAGTAATGTTAGACCGGAGCTTACGACATCGTCATTCTCGTGCTCCACTAAGTCGACGTCGAGCTGCCAAAGTAGTTTGATGACTTATGTTAGGTGTAAGACTAAAAGGGCAATTTTTTATTTGTTACTTATTGTTGTGGGGGTATAAACAGGGCTAATATGTTCGACGTTAGGTTATGTATGCTATTGTAGTATGGAGTCGTAGGAATTAGGGTTTCAGAGAGATTGTCGACCTCCTGAATTATAGGTGTTTATCTTTATGTATTTCAGATTGTATTGTTTTGTTTAGTCCCGGTGGAATAGAATCAATGCTTTCTGCCTTAATTGCTGTGGAAATTTGTCTCATTTCTATCAAAAGCTTTCTTAAAATAATAGTTACCATTATCAGTGGTGTTGCACTAGTGATTGTGAAGGCTAGCTGCTGCCCCCTTGGATTTTTTTGACTGAAGGTGTTCAGATCTTGAATTAGGAAACTTACTTTCTCGATATTAATTGGTCACTCTGTTTCTGTTCTTTTCTATTATCTCTTTATTGTCACCCTACTGTGGCAATAGAATGCCAAAAGTTGTGCTAGTTAGCTTTATTGGTTCAATTATCATTGGCTATGAGTGTTATTGTGCCATTTAGATTTTAAAGCAGTGCTACCAGGTTTGCAGAACTATGATTTTTCCGTTATCTTGAAAATAAATATCCACGTGCCGCGATTGGAGAAAACATCCAATTTGATTCAAATTAGTGTAGAAACTATATATCTAAACAGAAGTACAAACTTTGCTAGGAAAGTCAGGATTAAAATAATACACTTTGAGATCATAGAGAATTTGTGAAATGTTATAAAATATTGCTGATAAAAATTGAATGGAATTAAATGAGTGTGATGAACTTCTTTGTGAAATTGAAAAAATAAAATATTCATTTACTTTTTATACATGTCTTTGGACATTTGACTTGTTTACATATATAACCAACTGGCAGTCATCATCAAATAATTAAAACAACAATAAAGCATTCCTGTCATTACTGTTAACATAATGCTGTACAAAATACAACTGAAACATGAACCACACCATAAAACCCCTTTGCATTCAATATATCTTAATAACAACATCCGGGCATGTGATCTGTTCTATGATCAATACTGGAATTGCCTAAAATATCATAACATAAACACATTTTCCAACACATGCTTATTATCTGCTGGATTAGGCAACCCAATTATGTATAATCAATAATATGTATTTTTATCATGCATGTGCTCTATCCAAGCATAGCGGACATGCACCACACAGTTTTGCAAGTTAAATCTCGCTGTTATGGTTTTACTGAGCCTGAAATGTGGTAAAAAAATTAAGAAATTTTTTTATCAAGGTTACACATTACAGCATGAGCCAGTGCCCAGCCCTTTGTGAATCGAATCTGTCTAACCAACCACAACCATACTAATGAAAGACGGTTTACGAAGAGATGAGAAGAGGTTTTGGTGAGAAGCAATCAAATCTCTTAAACCCTGAAGCTAAGGGAATTTGACAAATCATATTAAGCCAAAGTTTAGTAAAACCAGCCAGGCTCTCAATTTAGGATCCTCTTATAACGTTCTTGGGACTTTTTAGACCAAATATTGGATTTAGAAGTAAATAGCAACCAAATCCCCAAGGATGTTATCATAAATTTTGTAGTATTTTCCGCAATATCTACACATTATAGTTTTCAGAGAATGTTCTATTTTATTTTGTAGTTTAGACTGCTCTGCTCAGATTTTTAATTACATTTTTTCATGTATAAATTCAGTGAGCATAAATTTTGTAGTAGCTTGCCAATATTTTGTAATGATTTCCTTGATCATACAATTTTTGTGAACTGACTAAATATTTCTGGATTTACGTAGTTCTTGACACTCCCATTACCAACATAACAAAACACTTCCAGGAGTGTTTTGATTTCATTGACGAAGCAAGACAAGCTGGTGGTGGAGCATTGGTGCACTGTTTTGCGGGAAGGTCAAGGAGGTATTCTGATTACTTTTGATGTTCCCACTATTTGTTCTTGAAGATTCGTTGCTATTTAGATGGTTTATAATGAATGAAAAACAGCGGAGTAATTATATTTTTATTTTTTAACAACAAAAAAGGAAGCATTCTTACGTTGATTCTTGTTAAAAGCTGTATTTTAGCATGGGTGCTAGCTTACATATTTATTTCCTGGCAGCTTCTAACTGATCATTTCTTGTTGCCTTAAAAAGCCCCATCATATTATAATTTTGATTCAGCCAAAAAATGTGCATTGGAAGCCCCACCCCTTCTGAGCACACTGGCCTTGCATCATTATTGGGGTTACCCTTGTAAAGCAGGTTATCCATCTTAATGAGAGTTGTAAAGACTATTTTGCTACAATCATTTCAAGGTGACCATAACTAGTTATGGACACCTCGAAACTATATTCTTTTATGAATAACCTATGAAATATATATTTGCCAATTCATACAACTTTCTTACTTTCCCACTCAAATTTAATTCAAAAATATCTTTAAATATCCATTAACCTCAACATCACACCAACTCATACAAGTTCAAAAAAACTTAGCTTCCTTTTGTTCTATTTCCCTTCCCCTCTTCTTCCCTTCAGTTATTCTTTGTTCCAGTTATTGGTTCTTTGAAATAACACGGAATGGATTGGGAAATGAGGGAAAACTTCAGTATATTAGGTTTTAACATGCACATATGCATGCATACATACATAGAAACAAATACATATACATACATATATGCATATACATATTTTTTTTAATAAAAGCTCAAGGGCAATTTTATTAAAGAGAATATGATACAGATAAGTTGTATGAGTGGGGCCAAATAAGCACACAACCCACACGGTACAACACACACAAAAAAGAAAAATAAAAACCCAAAAATAGATGGTACATATAAAATCAATTGGAACGACCCAATTTAGTTCTGCCTCTGCTTCTAGTTCTCGGAAGGGAACCAGCTAACAAATTGCTGAGGTGCGTACCATTGCCAGAAGTAACCAAAGTATCATCCATTAGATTCCCTAGCTCAAGCAGATCTCCATTATTCTTCTTCCTCCTGGAAGTGTAGACTTGTCATTCCTCATCCGAAGAATGTTGCTCATTCGGATGAGGTGGTAGTGCTGTGATAGAAAGATTGCCAACAGTTGTACCCACAATAGATTCTAGTGTATGTGAGGTATGAGTTGTCGCCTCTACACCTGATACTTCCATAAGATGGAGAGCTGCAAAGTTCTCCTGATTATCAGTCCGTGTAGGTATGGATTATTCAATACTGTTTTCAATAAGGTTTGAAAGTGTAGGTTGCTTAGCAGAGCCATCTAACTTCATATCAATCTCAGATACAATATTTTCAGGGGGGTCCACATGGGCAATCAAGTCAGACACCAAATTCTGTCCTGTGGTAGTTTTCTCTCAAGGTGGAATAAATATGTCCAGAGCAGTGGGGTTAGATCCATCATTATTTCTTTGATCTTTAGATTTCAAATTAGGATGAAACTTATGACCTTTATCAAGGGTATGCCCAAACATCTTACAATGAGAATAATAAGGAGGTCTGTGCTCCATGACGATTTGTTGCCAATATCCATTATGAGTTGTGTGCCCAACCAGACTTCAGTAACATCAGGTAAAGTAATATCTCTTTCCACAAGTATTCTGGCCACAAAAGATCTGGTTTGGTTGGAAGTGGGTAGATTTAGTTTCATAGGGTCTCTAAGTATGACTCCAATATAGTAAAGAACCTGATGATGAAAAAAGTGCAGCTTGAGACCAGTTAGACTAAACCTTACCAGTATAATAGGAGATTCATTATTAGGGTCAAAATTATGAGACCACTTGAGTAACTTCATTGATTTGCCTGCAATATTAAGATATTTTTGGAGAAAATCCGAGTATAGTTTTCAGCCACGGTTAATTGAATCAACACATGTCTCTCATCCATGAGCCTCACTTTTCACTTTCCTGCTAGTTTGAGATCATCAAAACTTTTCTTGATAATTTCCATAGGTGGGTGCCTATATAT